GCTCTCCACCTCAACGGAATCAAATCATCCAAGATTATTATTGACTGTATCTTTTAGTGTAGACCAACTTTCTGGGTAAAGATATTAGAAACCATCAATAAGTTAGAACAAATGGTCCAGTCAACCTGGGAATTCAAATCCCACCATAGCCGAGGCTCTGTGTATCCCCACAGGCAACTCAGTATATTGAACAGCCTGGTTCTTGTCTGCTAGCATCAAACATATTTAAGCTGCCGTATATGAAATGAGACTACTGGCTCACCTGTCTTTTCTGGCCTCAAGTGGTGGTCCTTCTGAAACCCACATGTAGAGATCCTCTAACCCAACCTTCCCTAATCCAAGTCCCTCCAGACTTTTGTACTACAACTACCAGACACAGTTAGCATAGACAACATCAAGAATGATGGGAGTTGTAAGCAAAAGTATCAGACAGGGTTCAGACTGAAGACTCCTGCTTTAACTGACAGTGTGGGGACTGAAGCTGGGACATTATGAACTTGTCTAGCCATTCAGGTCCCTGGAGAGGCCTTTCTTTATGAACTCTTCTCATCAGAAATCTGCCTGGTGACAATATGAAAAAGTCTTTCTATGCAACAGCAGCAGCCAAGTTACAGAAACATAAGAGGTCCCCATTATTCCTACACTGACACTATTTATTGCTTCTCTTTAAGCACAGAACAGAGTTTGTTTTTAAGTGTTTTGCTATAAACTACTTTTGTGGGTGGATATGAGCTGGTAAGCAAAATCTAGAATAAATACATGAAATAAAAATATTCATATACCAGTGTGTGTTTGCTGAAAGAATCTACTGTGCATTTGAAACTAAGACTCAGAAAATTTAGCAGGGATTGAGTCTGTATAGCACCACCCTGTTGATATTATGTACAATATTAATGATCTATTTATTAAAAAGGAGGAGAATTTCTTAGATTAAAACCATTTAAACATCAGCCCCGAGATATAATTTGAAAGAATGGAAAAAAATTCTTGCATCATAGCTTTAATTTTTAAGCAACAACACTGTTGAGACTTTCCCCCATTTTTTCTTTTCAAATAAATTTTGTAAAGATGATAAAGAGACTAAGAACATAAAGTACTTTCTATATTACAGGCAAATGCTATATACTACAGAGGTCTTCCCAAGTCTGGTATCCTCCAGATGTGTTCAAACCTAAGTCCCCAACCAGCACAATCATTTCTGATAAGAGAGGTGAAATCCAATACATCTGGATGGGACAGGTTATAGTACTGTTATTTACATGCAGAAATCAGGCAATGAGTAAGAATTCTGCATTAAGAACTGTAGAAGCAAGTTTCTAGCTCTTGAGGTTGTAAAGCATGGGGGCAAAGCCCACTAAAACCTTAACCATCTGTACACAAGGGGATGTATCCTCATTCTACTGCACGCTGCCTTTCAGTGGCAGACTTCACTGGAAGGAATAAACAAATAAGGGTCTATGTATTCTGTGTTATTTACGTATTTCACTGAAGTTCCACTTACACATGCTCTTACTGCCCTGAGCTTCTCACAGTTAGAGGGATCTGTGCCCTGCCAAGGCTAATGGGCCTACTCCAAGCAAGGAAGAATACTCTGGGGAGAAAATTCCTACACACTTCTCTCCCAGACTGAAACGGGCTAGGGATTGTTCTGAAAGCACCCTCTCTCCAGAGGGAGCATCTGGCCTTCGTACAAAGGTTGTAACTTTGGTGATTTCGCTGCCCCCTCTTGCACACTCCCCAGACCCTCCATGGGCTTCCTCAGCATCACCACTGGAGAAGAGGACGAAATCTCCCACACAGAGCAACGCACAGTCCACCGCATCCCGCCCCAGGCCTTTCCACCAGAGGCTGCCAACCCACCTCTGCCTTGCCCATGGGGCTTAGGGGCCCCAACGCCTACAGGTGAGGGGCTCACCTTTGGAACCCCAACCCTGCCAGCCCCGCTCCAGGGCCCCATAAATCGCCGCCCCACGAAACTCGCGGGACCCTGATGAGCTCCCTTTCAACGCCAGAGACATCCTCTCCCCAACTCTTATGGGAACAGCATTGCCCTAAACATCACCCACCCCCTATGGAGCCCCCCACAAACACTTTGGCCCCGCCCCCTACGGAGCCCCGTAGGCACCTAGAAGCCCCGCCCCTAGGTTAGGCCCCGCCCCTTCCCGCTGTCTCACCGGCAACTCCGGCGTCTCCGGGTCTCTCTCACTCTCCCTCTTTTTCCCTCTCTCTTTCTCTCGCCCCCGTCTCTCGGGCTCCGCGGCATCCAAGATGGCGGCAGCCTCCCCCCTCTACTTTCGCTTGATCCGCCCTCCCCTGAAGTGCATTGGCTACTTCTCCCGCTCCTCAAGCATCTTACCATTTCGATTGGATAATCAGGAAGGGGACGGTAGGGGGGACGGGGGGTGGGACGACGCGGCGCAGCCGCAGCTGTCATTAATAGGAATGCATGGGGTCTATTTGTCAAGAGGTGGTGTCCTTCAAAGCGCTCTTGTACTACCATTGGCTGAAGAGGCGCAGATGGAGTAGTAAGCATGGCTACGCCTACTACTCCGCGAAAAACAAGCCGAAAGGGCGGAGTTTACGTCAGAGTCTGCCTTCTAATGGGCAACAAAAATGTCCCTCAAATCTCACTCTTACATGATTGACTATTACTTCCTGTACACGAATACTGGCTAGAGTAAGAAAGGCTATTGGATAGTAGCCCTGTCATTCATGACTTGGTCCTGCTGTTTGGGTGAAACTGATAAAAAGGCGGTTGTGAGAAAGCTTTTGAGGCTGTGCCTCCCCATTGGCTGTAAACAAGCAAACCTGCACATGTTGTCTCCTCATTGGACGGCTGTGCCGCCCCGTAGAACCTTCTCCTTTTGTATTGGCATGCACGTTTTGAAGCTGGTTGTATTAAGGTAAAAGGGGGCGGGACAATCTGCTGGGAACTCTTAATGGCAACCTGTCAATTAAACACACGTTATCCAATCAGGGAAGAAAGAATGACCCCTTTTCCAGGTAGATGTTCCATTGGGGCTGTTCGTTTATGGTTTAATAATTTATTTCAGCGCTTCCTATCTAGCTCCTATTACAAGGGCTCGTCACAGATTTACGTGGGCACAGCAGTATTCACGAACTGATCAAATGAAAGTACTTTGCTGCTGTTGAAATACGTGCAGAATCGCAGCATCTAAATAAAACACGTATATAAAAGGGAGAGACCAAATTCACTCGTGATACTAACCCTTGGCTTGCTGAATCACATGGTTGCATAAGCTGCAGCGGCTGCGCTCGCAGAATACCAAGCACACCTCGCTGTTAGTAAGCACGCGTGAGCCCGTCCCATTATATCTTCCATAAGGACTCTTTAGCTTCCTAGGTCGATCTGTGGTCCTTAACTGGTTTTCGGTTTTTTTTTTTTTAATTTAGAGCATCTCATACTGTTCAGCTTATTGGCAATACCCTTTTCATAATTCTTTACGAATCTATTCCTCCTTGCCTGAAAGTTTGGATTCCTTGCCTTTGCTTGGTGGAGGCAGCCCTTTGCATTTACTTAAAGTACAGTACGTGTTTGTTCTCAGAGCTTCTTTGGTCCTATCTTTCTTTCTTGTGAGGTGGGGATCTTTGGCATGGAACACCTGAAGCCTTTACCTCCTTCACTGCCTCTCCCGCAGGAGCTCACAATGGTTTCAGGTCATAGGACACCACAACAAAGGACAAATTCTGTTGCAACAGAGAAAAACAGTAGAGAGCTTCACCTACTGAACACTGCTGGCATGATTAAGCCTGCAAAAGTGGTCTGGCTGCTTTTGATTCATTGTGAAGCCGTGGTGAATGCCAGGGTAAGTCCTTAGGTCTTACGATGTCAGTTACAGTGATGCCTCTCGTTACGAACGCCCCTCCTTACGAATTTTTCAAGATACGACCAGCTCCGGCCCCAAAAATTT